ACTCTTGTTACAGAGGGAACATTCTTGTACAGAGAATCTTGCTGTAGGGATTTTCTTGCCCAGTATTTGCTTTCAAATTTTGAAAACTGCTTCTAAGACACTGCAGAGTATTCTATGAGTATGTACCCCCATTTAAAAAGCACTGGGAACAAAGCTTTCTGCCAAACACCGTGGGATAAAATTTGATTCTTTTGGGTAAACGGTAATTTTAATACCCACAAACCTACCTGCAAGTCGCAGCAAGAGAAGACTGCATTCTACTGTGGTAATGTGGGGCATGTTCTTTGGTCCTACGTCAGTCCTGCCAGATTTGACTCCTCCCACTCACAATAGTTCAGCCCTCTTCAAGAAGCCCAGTTTCAGTACTACAATTCATACAACACATGTAACAGCAGGAGGTGCTTCACCTTGCAAACAAACAAAATAAACGGCAGTGAAAATTATCCATGAATGTATTATGACAATTGAAAGCAAATCTTTTGCAAGATGTTCTCTTTAACTCCTCTGAGAGCTCTGCGTGACTCTGTTCATTCACCAATCCCAGTCACCTTGCATTGCTAGACGTTGCCCTCCTTTAGCTGCAAAGCTGTCCTTTCCCAACAATTTAGACAGCCATATTGTAGGGGCTGATTCTTGCTTTGAGCTCAAACAGCTTCTAACACTCACTAAATCTCAGGTTAATCTTTGCATTGTCATTCTACTCCAAACTGCAATAATCCTCCATGATCGACAAAGACTCTTCAGTCAATGCTTCCTCACTTGAATACACAGGGGCTGACCCAGACCCTCTACCCAGACATTCTGATGTCATCTGTGCCCATGCTGCCCTTGAGTTCTCCCTGGTAGGACTTGAAACAATTAGCACTTGATCCACAAGCATCAAATCCCATAATCCCTGGTGTTTGAGAATATTGGGTGAAATCTAAGTAAAGAAACATGAAGAAGAGCCCGTGTCCCAAATGCAGTTGCAGAAAGAGATTTGCACTCAAGCCCCTGGACCTGGTTGGATTGCGCTCATCAAAGACAATATGACATCTGCATTTCCTGATTTAGAAATTCTCAGGAAGAGAGGGAAGGTTGTGGGAACTCCAGGGATAATAGGTCACCCACTGGCATGTCTCCTGCTAGGATATCAGGATGCCTTTTCCATTGACTCAGCTCTGCTCCTCTCTGCTACCCAGGAAGGGTGACATCCCAGTCATGAGGAAACTGCAAAGTACCTTTTTCTAAATAAAGGAATGCAAAGACCTGATATGTTAGTGTTTGGGCCTACAGAGGAGACTGTGCCTTTTCATTTACGTAGGAAACTGAATTACAGGTTACGGAATCTTGAGTTTCATCTTCTGAAAAGATCACAGAATGTGGCGCAAGGTCAGACTGGCATGAAATCAATTGTAATCTGCCAGCAAGCCATTCTAACCTCTTTAAGAGTTTCTTTTTATATATTTTTTCCTTTTATAGAGAGCAAAGTACATTTAAAGAAAGTCTCATCAAATCAGAATGTCTTTCTAATATTATTTTTTTAATTGGTTGCTACTGTAGTGTGACCTAAAGCCTCCTGGTATTTAACCCTCTGTGCAACTTTGACTAATGAACAAATTTTGTCTGCTATAGCACGTCTTTTATGGGTTTTAAAAAAAATTAAAGTGTGTGATGAAAACCTCAGATCCCTCGACCTAATTGATTGGCTGTTGCTGATGCCATGTCTATCACTGTAATGTTCTCTAAGTGTACACACCTACCTATTTTTCTTCTTTTTCTATAGCAGTTCCATTTTATAATGACGTTAAGCCATTCTGAGCGATACATTTCTGGGCAGTTATTGCACTTGGGTAGAAAGCATCATCTGGCTTTTGGCCTTGTGCCTTACAACACCAACTGAGGCGTAAAATGATCCCCCAGAAAATGTACTAGGCTTTTACCTCATTACTTAAAAATAAATCTTGGAGGCTGGTTCTGTTTCAGAAAAGATTTGGTGGGTTATAACATTTGATTTATGAACATAATTAAAATATAAATGATGAGCTCTGGGCTATTCAATCAGCCATCTGGATTGTTCAGTATTTTGACATATTCATATTGTAGTCAGGATCTTCGATGGAAAATTTAATGTCCCTTAGTTCTAGAGGTGCCAGTGGAATCCCAGGGTTTCTGTTCCACCTGTTGAGAATGCTTAAGTTTCTCTTTCAGGACAAAGGAAGGGAACAGAATTTGTTTTTAAGTTTCCATCACCCAGGGATAGATCTCCTCACATAGACCTTCTATAGTATTTGATTTCTAGTCTGGGCGAGAGGATAGCTCATCTGCCCGTGGTCAGATAATATGCCTATAAATACTACATGTGTCAACAGAGGGGAACATTCTTCTGCGTAATGCAAGCAAGACCAATGCTTACCTTTTCAGCCGCTATTACGGTAACTGTGGCAGCTGTAGCCATGAGTAGATAGGAGCTGTTTCTCCAGAACTTAAAGAGTAAATTGGGAAAATCAGTTATCAAAACTGAAGATGTATTTTCTGTGGTTTAGTACATGGTTTTTAAAATAAATTTCAGGTCTAGCAAATCTTTAGCTTGTTCTTCCTAATGTATGTGAATGATTGACAACTGATCAACAGCTCATTAGGAACATAAAAAAGCATTTAACTAAAATCAGGTATTGAAGAAGAGGGGTGGATTAAGTTTTTCAACACTGTCTTTATTACTGATGGAAGTTGAGCATGTAAAATCCTTAGTGCACTGTGCTGAAAAATATGCCCGCTCTGTTTGCTTATACATTACATGAAGGAAAAAAGAAGAAACAAAATCCTTCCACACAGGCCAGCAAGCATTCTGCTGCTTCTTAATTAATGGCCAAAGTCAGCAGTGCATGAAAAATGTAGCCCTTCCGTGGATCAGAGATTAACCTATAAGCAAATGTTACATTTCAGCCCAAATTTTGGGCTTTTAATTTAGCCTCACACAGAATGGCTCACGGGTAAGAATAACAGAGGTCCCCTAACTGGGAACTCTAGTAAATGCTGCTGTTTCAGGGTATGAACTCTTAGGTAGCAGGTCTTTTGTTTTTTGTGTGTCCATTGTCATAACCTTCTTCCATTTTTTTTTTTTGTATCTTTTGTAAAAAATAAACTTCAACTAGCTGTGTGTGTGTGTGTGTTACACAATCACAGACAATAAACTTACATCTGATGCCCAGCAATTGTAGTTAAGCCTGTATGTGGCCTCTGTCTCTAAAATGAGTGCCCAGGAGCTCTCGAACCAGCCAGTGCTAGTTCAAGGTTATTCTGTTTATTTTTTACAAGTACTTCTGCTTTTCTTTAAAGACTAAAAGACTACCTTCCCGACCCAGTTATCAGTATCTGGAAACCTTGACACCATTTTGCTCTTAAACATTTTCTTTGCCAACATGTCCAAGAATAGAACTGTGTAACTTGCAAGGGTCAGCTGGAGCTTCTGGGCTTGTTAACATTACGTTCTCTGGCAAGAGACTTAGATTCTCAGAAAGCGCTACCAATTCACAGTATGCAGTGCACACTGGTGGGTGAACAAGGGGACACTCTTAAAAGGTTTTGAATGCCATGTAATTTTTAGAGGCATGAGAGAAAGATTTGTGATAGGAAAGAGACTGTAAGAATGTATCTAGAAAGCATCCATGCCTAGTGAGGACGTCCTTGTGCAGCTTATATAACTGTGTACAGGGTGGGATTGGTTGAGCCTTGCCATAATATTTCGGTCTTCTCCCTTATTCCATAGGATGAATGTTAATGAGCTAACCACAGCTTGTAAAAGGCCAAGGGGCTATTGTTTAGGTGGTATGATTGTCTGAGAAAGTAAAACTATGGTAATTGTTTTGACCTTTCAGCCAACTGATGTCTTGCCCTCTCACATTTATTACTCTTGGGTACATTTCTAAAAATATGCATTTCCAGAGCCACAGAATTCAATGAGAAAACTGATTTAGGGATTAATAGCTTGTTAGTTCAGCACAGAAAAAAACAATCTCCTGATTCCATTCTGGTTTTATTTATAAATGTATTTGTATATGTATGTATGTTAATTCCAGCTTCTGTAGCTTCCCTCCCCATTCCCTGAACCTCCCATCATTTATCTCTCGTAGCCATATCCCCATGCTGACAAACATCCAGTTTTAAGTAGCTGGTGGAAATAAGAATACTTAAATCTCGTTCCTAAGTACCTCAGTGCATTAGGAAACTACACTTGGCTTTAACTATGGATTGCCATTGGAAATGCAGTTGTGAATTAGAAATCTATCCCAACATAGACTCATGGGGCTAGCTCATCTTGGATGAGCTCCTTTGGTCTGTGGGTACCAGAGTTCTCATCCCTAAAACTGGGCTTATTCTACCACCAATGATGGTTCCTATGGTTCCTAGGAGAGTAGATCCTGAGTAAATATCAGTATCTTTTTAATGTTTACACTGAGATGTCAAAGAGTTTTCACTGTTTGGGGGGGTGGGTGGGTGGGTGGCTCCTAAAACTTCCCAGTTCTTTTTTCTTAAGCCATTGGAATAGAATTCAGAAGTCCTGCCTTTCCCATTTGAAAATAAGAACATAGAAGAGACAAACTTACTAATGTGCAGTGTCACAACATATTGTCACATAGTAATATATGATGAAATGCATCAGTTCTGAGCACCACAGATATCTATGGCTTCACCTCAGCATGAAGGCAAATGAGTTTCCTTTAGCTTGAGTGAGTTTGGAGATAAACTTCAGTGTAACAAAATGTATTTCACAGGAAATGTTTGATGTGGCGCAGTTGGCTTATGAATCTCTTATCTATTTGCGGTTCACTCCTTAGAGTTATTAGTCAATTTAATTTGAGCAAATGCCAGGATTACTAACTAATTAGAAGGGTGTTACTGAAGGCATTGGATGCGAGAGAGTAAGTGCTGGTACTGTGGGCTTTGAGGCAGTGTGTGAGTCTGATTTTGCCTGATGATATCATTTGCTAAACATTATACTTTGTGTTGTTGTCACACAGATAAGCCTCAAGTGCATATTCAGATGACTTATCCTCTGCAAGGCCTAACCCGGGAAGGGGACGCGCTTGAGTTAACATGTGAAGCCATCGGGAAGCCCCAGTAAGTTCTGAAGGCCAAGGTTGGCAGAGGGTCATGAGCAGTAAATGTCACAACGCAGACATGTGCGTTCACCACTCCTTGGCCTGTCACCTGTCTCCTGCTGCAAGGGATGGATGGTTTTTCAGGAACTAAAGAATATTCAGTGTGAGGGGAAATAAATATCCGTAGTTCTTAATGGTCAAGACTGGGAGAAAAATTAAATGCCAGCTAAGATTGAAATCTCAGCTAATTCTGTTTTATTATCATCAACAAGATTGTCAGGACTATTTTCTCACACACACACAGAAATAATCCTAATAAATTCTTGGTGTGCCCACAATCTAATGATATATCTGCCACCTTTTGAGTTAATGTCTAAGCTGCTAGGAAGATCGTTTTAAGACTTACATTAAGCTGCTGTGTTTAGGGCTAGCTGTAGGCAAATGAATTTGCCCTCCCTTTAATTTTGCATCTTCTTCCCTCAAAGTATCATACTTGACTCCCAGAAATATTTTTGTTACTAAGGAAAAGCTAAGGAACTTTTCTTAAGGAGGAGACATACGCCACTTCATAAGACAAAAAGAAGAAACAACTTAGACTCTTGTCTTATTGAAAGTATAAAGGAGCCACTTCAGTTACCCTGCGAAATGATCCAAAATGAATTAGAGGAACCACATACAGCATCACTCATACAGCAAAAAAAGCTACACAGTGGTGCCGCTTTAACCACTGTTACATTTACTTAGTGGGTGGGGGACACTTCTTTTGTATTTCTAGTAAAGATTGTTTTTAACTGTTTCTTAGGGGGAAAAAATCAAATTGTGGATTCATGAAATGGAATAATAGGTCAATGTTGGGATTAAGGGCCCTCACTTCAGTGGCACCCAACAAAAACCAGCATTGAGCTCCCTCTGCTGTCCCTGTGGTATGATTTTTTTTCCCCCTCAAAGAGTTTTGCGAGCCAGAATCATCACAGTTTTCATATAAAGAAATCAGAGCATCTTAACAAAGCTTCCCCAGAAATCTCTGGAAAGAAGACTCACGATTTTAACTAAGGAATGATCTATGACAAGAGACCAGAAAGCCAAAGGGGGCTCTGGCTGCTGTTGTTTCTCTCTTCTCATTTCAGCCCTCCCCCTCTTTGTACTTACCTTTCTGTGGGCTAGAATTTCCTTCCCTCTGTCCTAACCATGTGGAGTTTTAAATGACCTTTAGGAGGTGGAAAGTGGTCTTGATTCTGTTTCACTTTTCCTGTGGTGTTCCCAAGTTCTTTGCTTTTGAATGCTTCAAGCTTCAGTAGAGTGATCTTTTTCTCTTTTGAGCACTGCCAAAGATTCAGATCTTTCTTTTTGTAAACAGTTTGAATTATGCCCTAATTAGCATCTTTCTTCCAAAATAACCCAATGGAGGAAGAAAAAAAAATTATCAGAGGTCTCTTGCCACTTGCAATACCTGTGCTCAGCCACATGAACCACAGTTACAGTATATGGCTTGCTAACCTATACTTTGTTTTTGTGTTTTTCCCCTGAAGAAGGTACTGTGACCAATTGAAAGTGCCACGGGGACAGTAAATTACATATTTTCTTCAGGACATTTATGCCAGAGAGGGGATTTGTTTGTTCCTTTCAAATAGGAGCTGGTATATGGTTGTGTGAGCAAGCTCACATTACTCTCCTGCTATCCCTTCTAGCATATTACCTATTTATTTTCTCAAGAAATTGCATACAATAAAAATGGTAATTTAACTTGCCATTAAATGTTGTGAATATTCTCAGCACTTACCCCTACTGATTGTTTCAGCTGTCAAGCAGCAGGACATTAGGTCTGATTGCCAGGCAGGCCCATTTGCCATTGCCTACAAGGAGGACATATGCAGTACTAATTTTTAAATAATTTACTGGGTTGTGATGACAAAGCCATATGTAATTAAGGAAAAATTGTGACTTCACATCCCATTTGAAAATTGGAATGCTACTTGACAGGGCTAACTTGAGGATCCGTTCATCATTAAGCATGGGTCTCCTGTCGTGTCGCTGCTCCCAGAGGCAGCCATAGGAACTGGAAGGAAGTCACTTCTGCGCTGGGATCTCTGTTGTCCTTCCTTCAAAATGAAAGTTTTCAGGCATAATTCTAAATGTGGCCTCAATTTCATAGGAGGTTGTGGGAGATGCCTCGAAGAACGGAAGTTTTCAAAAGATAGTTGGTGTGTATGCATTTGTAGCTTTGGCAAATCTTGTGAAATTTGCTTTTTCCTGATGGATACAAATGTGGCACTTTAAATCACTAAAACAGACTTGTCTCTGATGAGCAAATGCCCTAGGCCCTAAGAGATTCATGTGGAATGTATTCCGTGGTCATCTGCCTGAGAGCCCTACCCACAAGCTTGGGGGACTGCAGGGGCACACACACGGAAAGTTCTTGCAATATGCAGGCCTTGGAGAGCCAGTAAAGAAGGCAATTTGCCAAGGAGCAGATAGACATGGTGGACCACGGCCTCAGAGACAAGGGTGGCATTCTGGGTAGGGGGAGGCAGGTTATGGGGAGGGGTTAAGGAGAAGAGGAAATGATTACATCTTTCCTGAATCAAAGAGGCCCAAGAAAAGCACTATTCAGTTATAAAAGTCCATTCCTTTTGGTGAAACTCAAAATCCATTTAAATATCACAAGAGGCTTCTAAACAAGTCTTGGTGTGTTAGTAACTATCAGATTAATGCACGTATCACTAGCCAAGAACTTGATTTCTTTCCTAATTAATGAGATGTTAACAATGGGTGAGCTCTGTCCTGCCTGAATTGGTGTAAAACCACACAGCAGGGCATAAAAATAGTGCACACTGGTTTATTTGCTGATTTGTCAAAGATGAATTGGAAATAATGAGACTCCTGCTTATGGTCTGTTCAGAGTTTTTCAACACCTGATTGTGTTTAAAAAAAAAATTGTATACCAAACAGATTTTTGGAGACTTCACAGTTGTAACTCTGTGAACTTAAAATATCTCCAGTAGGTCCTCAATAATCGTGGCACCCTGCATGTGATTCATTTAATGCATTGGTGAGAAGTTTGATGTAGACATCTTAATGGGAAATGATAATGTGACTTGTCTTCCTCCTCTTCCCCCTGCAGGCCTGTGATGGTAACTTGGGTGAGAGTCGATGATGAGATGCCTCAGCATGCCGTACTGTCTGGGCCCAACCTGTTCATCAATAACCTAAACAAAACAGATAATGGTACATACCGCTGTGAAGCTTCAAACATAGTGGGGAAAGCTCACTCGGATTATATGCTGTATGTATACGGTACGTGAGAAGATAAAATGCTCTTCTGCTAGAGTCAGGCACATGGAGCTGCTACTTGTGATTTACTCCCAAAGCTTTTGGTCAAGTTGAAAATCAAAAACCAGTTGGTTTCCTTCTAGAACTTAAAGAAGCCTGGCCTGAGGTGGACCCTAGTGTCTCCACCTGAGATAGTGACTTTTCTTCTCTCCTTCTAATCGTGGGGGTTTCGGCTAGATCACAGTCTTTGGTCATGCTGAGAAGGAAAGCTGTGTCCTCAGGCACAAGCCATGGAGATTATGTTAGAAGTAATGACTGAAACTTTCCACCTCACCAATTAGTGGCTTTTCAGCTCAGAAAGTTTATTCCCAGTGGTGTTTTCCTGTGATACCTGGGCCAGCCTTTTTCCTGCTTTGATGAGCAGGACTGTTCTATTTTCAGCATGTAGCTGTTACATTCCAAAAGATGTTGCAAGCCAGTAAATACTCAGAATAAATACGAGGTCCTCTGTAGCTACATGAACTATCTGTAGCTACTGCTTCGGAACAAAAGCTTTTTTAAAAAAAATGCATCAGTTTTGTTTAATATCATTTTACAGGATTATTAAAACATGACAAATTTTATTCTCTAGTCAGCACATTTATTGAGCATCTACTATGCTCCAGGCCTCTTAAACTGACTTCCTGTTTATAACTTACTGTTGATTTTTACATACGGGGAATATTTTCTATTTAGTTGAGGTGTGCACCTCCTGTCTAGTTTTATAATATCAAATTCAGTCTCTTCTGTTCAATTGAAATCTCATATGCCAAGAAATAGCCATGAACTGACATGACACAGAATGAGTAACCAGAGGCATTGACATTTCAGTGTGTTATAAATATTCTAACATGTGTATGTGTGAAGAGGGCATTTTTCTTCATGTTAGCACTGTAAATAATCCAAGTATAAGTTTATATGAACAAATGTATAGACACACATAAATTATACCTATGAAATATCCACATCATAATGTCTTAGAATCAGGGTACTTTCCTTATGCAGAAAATAGGAGTGGCAGTCTTTTTAATCAAACAGAAGCAAGCTTTATACCGTATCTGCATGGATATTAAAATATAATCCTTAGCCTATACCTGAGATTTTTTCCTAGCGTAATGCAAAATTAAAAGATCACATCTAATCACCTTATTTGTAGACTTCTGAAGTATGTTTTCTCTTTGCGCACTACCAGTGTTGTCTGTGGTTCACACATAATAACATTAATTCTCCCAGTAGTTAAGGAAATCCATGTGAAGTGAGCAGCTTTTCTACATACGTGAGATGGGGGCGCAGCATGCCCTGCTTTCAGCTGCCGATGTGCAGAGTCACCTCTTTCCACAGACTGCTCGGCTGGGGGTGGAAAGTACATTCCTCCCTTTTTCCGCATGTGCTCTCTTCACACAAGGGCCTGCGCTCATGAGAGTTCCCAGCACTGCTGTTGCCCAGGTTTAATGGCGTTCAGTCCAGCTCTTTACAAACTGCAGATTATAAAAAGCAGTGACAAATTTCCATTCGTCTGTGACATGCTTTCTTGATTCAGAGCACTAAGTTATCTGGAAGAAGAGTTTTGATTTATTGTACATACTGCCCCTACATTTCAAGAGAAGAAACATTTTATGAGTTTGATAGACAGATATATTTGAATAATTTTGGATAGTAGTTTATAGTTAGCATTTATGTAGTGCTCACTTTATTCCATGCCCTATGGTAACAGTTTTACATGCATGGTCTCACTTAATCTCAATGATAACACCAGGAGGCAGGCATTATCATCATCCCATTTTACAGATGGTTAACAGAAGCTCAGAAAGGTCACATAGTTTTGCCCAACTTCACCAGGTTTCTACATGTGTTTTAGAACCACAATACTTTGACTCTACAGTCCACAACAAAGTTTGTCTTTCTTTATAAATTCTCTTATTCTCACTGCTTTCCAATAGGACAATCCCTTTCAATATGAGATGATCTTAGAATTAACTGTTGGGGCCAGAGTGCATTATTTGAAAACCAAGAAATATGGGGATCTACCTGTTTAAGGCAGACACAGCTACATACGCATGCCTCCCTAATCCAAGATGGTACCCCTATCCTTGTCTGGGGATTTGATAGATCTGTTATATACTACCTGCCTCCCTAATCCAAGATGGTACCCCTATCCTTGTCTGGGGATTTGATAGATCTGTTATATACTACCTGCCTCCCTAATCCAAGATGGTACCCCTATCCTTGTCTGGGGATTTGGTAGATCTGCAATATACTACCTACCTCCCTAATCCAAGATGGTACCCCTATCCTTGTCTGGGGATTTGATAGATCTGTAATATACTACCTGCCTCCCTAATCCAAGATGGTACCCCTATCCTTGTCTGGGGATTTGGTAGATCTGTAATATACTACCTGCCTCCCTAATCCAAGATGGTACCCCTATCCTTGTCTGGGGATTTGGTAGATCTGTAATATACTACCTGCCTCCCCAGTCAGTGCTAGTTACAGTACTTGGGATGACAGATTAGAATATTAGCCTAAGGTATTACTAGTCTATTAATAAAATTCTCTAGCAATTTGGGAAGGTGTTGGGTAGATTTTCTTTCCAAAGCTGATTTCTTGTATTACTACAGTAATTTTGGAAGTATTTTATGAACTAAAAGTTTGGTATGCCTTTATAAAGTTTAAATCTCTGGAAGCAACCTCTATACAAGAAGAATCTAGGTGGTTAGTGCCTGAGCCCCCACTGGTTTTATTCTTGTGCCAAACACAGCTCATTAACTCCAATTCTGTACTTTCTTAAATAGCGGCCTCACATTGCTCTTATTGCTAGAAATGATCTAAGCGCTGTTATTCTACCTGATGAGGGAATCTAATTCTTTGAGGTCACTTTAGCCAGATGTGAAGGACAACAGTTGCCCCAGTCATGATGAAGATAATTGAAAGTGTGTGATTTGCACAAAATGGGAGGGACTGATGACCTTTCTTTGAAGTCTGTGCCTTCATTAGTCTGGTCCACCCCTTGGTTCATAATAATATTTTCAAATCACCTTCAGGTCTACTCTTACTGTATTGTGGACCTCACACACTTTAAGTCTACTTTTAGAATAGGTACAGGGGAAATCTCCCAGGAACAAATGTTCCTTTTCAGTGGTAGATACAGTAATTCAAGCAAAACAGAAAAGTCACGTTACCTGAGCCCGTGCTGGGCAGCAGGCGCATCTCTGGATGTAGTTAGGTGTGTGGTGGAGGGAGCGGGACGCCTTTACTGCTGGGCTCGGGGGTCACTGCACTGGGTTCATCTGTATCTGTACTGGCACCTGCAACAGGTGTGTAGGTGCATCCAAATGAGTTTCCAGGTCACAAAATGCTTCCCTACCTGTGGCTTCGGTGAAAAGTGTGAGGGAGCAAGACTGAACATATGGCCTGAATCACTGCATTTCTCATTCTACCTTTCCTTTAAAAAGGTAGTTTAAAATTACTAACTTAATCATTTCTGCTTCTTGGAGGAGAATGAGACTTTTTAAAAATGACATCCTTTTTTGGACTCACGTGAGGCTGCTTTAAACAAAGTATCAACTGCTAGTATCCTCAGCTTAAAGGAACAGAGCCTCCCATAAAACAGAACAGTTGCTTCTTGCCTGCTGATTTCATCCAAGTGTATTTATATGAGAGAAGCAGTTTGTGAGGAAAATTAAAACCTCAGATTGTTGATCGATGGTAGGAATCATTCTAAGTAGATGTTGCAACCAAGCACCAAAATAATGTTTTTATAAACTTTTGGGAACTTGTAGCAAACGCAGTAAAGGTACAGTATATAATTAAAGTTTTGATGTATTAATTAGACAATCTGAGAGCTCACTTGAAGATAAAAGGACACCAGATGTGTCAGGGAGAAAAAGTTGACGTGCTTTAGATAAAATTTAAAATCAAAAGCTTTCAAATCGTCTTATGCTCTATTATAGCAGAATGATTGCTTAGTTCAAAGTCTTGCTGACAATTTAACACATTCAGTTTGATCATTTGGGCTTAGATTTTTTTTTCTCTTTCATATTTGCCCTTCCCCTGTCTCCAAATAATTTTTGAGATGATAGAAGAATATACAGTATATCAAATATCTGACAGAGAGGGTTCCCTATCAGGTGCCTGGCTTTGAAGGTCGAGTCTCATTTATATTTAGTTCTCTTGTTTACAAGATGGAAAGCATTCTTTCAGTTTTATCACTGTAGTCCACTCAGGTCAAGCTTTTAACATGAGCAAAGGCAACTTATTAATATTTATAAGTTGTAAAATTTATTGACTTAAAATAAAATCTCAGTAAAATCTCACATGCCTGGAACTTGATATTTAGTGGTGACATTCTCTCTTCTTTGTATTTATTATGAGTATAGAAGTAGTTTTACTTCCTGCTGGGATGTATTGCTGGAGAATAATGAAGTTAACAGACACAGAGACCAAGTGTGCAGGGGCACGCTCATCCTTGGCTGCTACGAGCCCTCTAATAGAGCAGCACCACCTCCTCCTCCTTCCTTCCATCTGTAAAAGCTGAAACGAAATGACAACCATTGTACCCTCTTGGTACTGAGTTGATTTAACCTCACCTTTGAAATCTGGTAGGGAAGAGGAGTGTCATGTTTTGATTTTTTCCTCCCCTCTCTTCACATCTCCTCATCCCTAATTCACTTCATTAATGAAAATTCTCTTTTCTTCTTTTCTCAGCTCTTCCAGCTAAGGCTTTGGGATATAATTATAAGACACAAATCTTGCAGGGAAAGAACTTTTGGTTTTAAGGGAGAAGCCATCAAACAAACATCTCAATGTCTTCATGCTTTTGTTTTGTCATTACTGGTCATTGTTGTGTTCAGCATTGTGGGTTTGATTTTCCTTTTTTTTTCTATCCAGATCCCCCCACAACTATCCCTCCTCCCACAACAACCACCACCACCACCACCACCACCACCACCACCACCACCATCCTTACCATCATCGCAGGTATGGTACCTTCATTACCATTGAAAATGTCCTGAATGTATATTGTCTTTCTGGTATGTATAAAAAGAAGCCTAAAAGTTCCCTTTAAATCCTTGGAATTTAATTGTTCCTTTATTTTGGAACTCCAGCGACATTAGATGCTATGTTCTTAAGTTGAATCTTAAGAACCTCAGAAACATCCAAGCATTTAACAGTACGTCAGATATTTTGCAGCTTATGCATAAGAGAATTCTTTTGTAAGCATCACTATTCAAAGCAAAATGTTAGGGAAAACGGAAGCTGGCTGCTAGAGAACACGCCGATAGCTTCTGCTTAGCCATGGTTGATGAAATGGTAAGTATTGTGGCTTTCAGTCTTGTCTCTGTCTTAGTCTCATCTCAGTCCGCGTAAGGGAAACTATACACACTACCTTCACCGTGCCTATTTGGGCCATGCTAGTAAATGCATAGTCATCCTTCCTGCTCACTGTCAGAGTACCCGCTGACAGTGTTACTACCTGTTTGTGTTGCCTAGGTAGTCACAAGAGATCAGAGGGAGTCACTGTCTTTTCCATGCTGAGCACTCGTGTGCCCCTCCCTGCCCTCAGTCACATATTGGAGGAGTAGAAGAGGCAGCCACTGTGGTTCTCACTCTGCAGCTTTATCTTTTTGGACTGTCTGAAACTCTTATTCAGCATGAGTTTTACTGTCTCTTGTTTCTGTCACTGAGGGAGGTGGCATGCCATCCAGCCCTTCCTGGCATCCAGTGGCTCTCTCATACTGCTTGATATGGCTTGTCTGGGAGCCATGGGGTTTCTTCTGCTACCTAAGCAGGAAAGCTTCCAGCCACATTATGTCCACTTGACATGAAAGATTTCCTTAGATAAGGCCTTCCCAACCTGTGTATACAGGGACTAACCACAAAAAACATGTGGAAGTAATTATTCTGTGAGAAAAATATCTCTTGAAAGAGTCACTTTTCCGGTGCATTTTGTTATCTGGTGAGACTACAAGGTACCTGAACCGTGTGCCCTGGTACACAGCCTTGTCCCTGGACTTCTTTGTGAATACTGAGTATTTGACTCCTCACGCCTCATGGTCAGCTCCTTTTTAGCACCCTAGGTATCACTGCTGTCCTTTACATCGACATGCTAGAGACATTTCCCATTTCCATGGGGGTCAGTAGGATAGACATGATGAAAATGCCGGCTGTTCAATGAAAGAGAGAAGAGGCCTTGTCAGTTGATGGAATATAACAATAGATGGTCTAATCTCAGTTTTCTTCAGCTTTCTACTCATTACAGTGGAACAAAGAGAATCTTAAGGAAGCCAATGCTTCTCAACATTGGTTATAAAACCATCAGTGCCCGCACTCAATTTAAAATCTTCTGAAAATCCATCAGCTGGTTTTCACTCTAAACTCAGCTCTCTAAAGACTGCTTCCTAGATTCTTGTCTGTGTGTGTTTCTGTTTTGGCTCTTTGTTACTTTCTTCTGGAAACTTAAGTAAACTCTGTTTGTTGGCCTAGTGAATTGATTCCTTCCATTTTTTATACCATTCATAAGCATATCAAAGATGCTTCTTCCTAACTCTGATTTCCAGAGTAATGTGCTATCAAATTTTCATACAAAGAACTAGGTTTTTGCCTTTTCAGATTTCTTGCCTGTTACTCAGTTTGTAAGCCAAGTTAAATGCTTACTCTTGTGAAGGGCCCTTTAGATCTTAGTGTAAATTATATTGCCTAATTCTCCATTCCCCTACATATGTTACCTTTTAAGAAAACATATCAGCAGTCTGTTTTATCTTTGCAGAAGTTGCCTGGGTATGAGCCACTCATTCTAGAAGGTTCCAGCTAGGTGGCTACCCAGGTTTATGTTTTAAGGCAGTCAAGACCTTATTCACACAGTATATAAACACCACATTTCTCTTTTATATGGAACAACACTTTTCATTTGCGGCTGGCCTTCTCACTAGCTTATACTTTTTTTAAGACCTTAACACTCCCTGAACTCCTCCCCCCTCACAATCAATCTCAGCAACTCAGCAGTCGCTTCAGTTCACAGCTCTTAATCCTTCACTCAAGACTAAAGCTAATCTTATGTCCTCAAACAGCTACAACTCACTGTTATCACAGTTCCAACTGCAGAGACTCCATTTAAGAGGAAATTTAAAAAATAAACAATACTCTATTTCTGTCCACATCAAAGATACCTCTAACAGGAACTTGTCTTTGCTTCTGTCTCTCTGCTACTGGCCTCTCAGCTCAAGGTAATGTAAGATGATCTCATAGGTGCACTTTAGCCTCTTGATGTTGGCAGTTGAATCCTCTCTGCACACAAAATACATTTGTGGTAATGAATGCCCACATTCTTACTGGCACACCCAAGAGTAGTTAAACTAAAATTGCTAATAACACAACATTGTAGCATTCGTTGCCTTAATGGACGTGATCTTCTAGGCTTACTGTGTCTTAACAAACAGTCTTATATATATTTATCTTGCCCAGAAAGTACACTTGTAGAATTTAACATTTGCTCCTTTCTCCAAACAGATTAAAGGTTATGCAGCTGAATGATTCTGTGTCCCATTTTAAAGGTCCAGGCTATCCCCTAGATTTAGATTAGTTCCTAAAAATCTTCCAGACTGAATCGTGACAAATGGATAGCTAAATTAATTTCCACTCCTCTTCTCTCTTGCACTGTTTGGTACATTACAGCCACCATTAGCCTTAAAAGCTCCAACAGCCAAATTCGGTGACAGTAACATAAAGCCTGAGCTTAAAAAAAAAAAAAAGGAGTCCAAAGTCATCTATTTCTTTTCTCCCAGTCAAATGCAATAACTGAAACCCATTCCCCAGGTCAGAGTTTCATTACAAGAAAAATGTACACATGCAATAGAAAAATATTTTTAAACTTGAGAAGTCATAGTTGATTTCTGATTTCTCTGAAAGGAAGTGTTCCAGTGTTATCCTTTATCTTCCATAACCAGGATAATCAAATTGTTCCCCTTGTTAGAGAGGCAGACTGGCGTTCTATTCTGAGTCACCTGACTTCCTTGAAACATGTTCAAGCTTAATCATGGAGACCCTTCAAGGGGAGGAATTATGAGCCAAATCTGACTCTGCTTTGCCCACCCAAACCACACCCCTCATGGGTGGGAGCACAGAGTGTTTTCTGCTTCCTGCTTACCCTACACGGAGCAGGCCTGGTGAGTTACACACGAAGGCACACGTCTAAGCATGGGGTTATCTAGGGAGAAATTTTTGTAGTCTCTAAAATACTAAAAGGAATACAAACAGTCCCTGATTTATGATGGTTCAACTTAACAATTTTTTTATTTTAGGATGGCGCAAAAGCAATTCGTATTCAATAGACACTGCACCCATACAGCCTTTCGCTTTCAGTACAGTATTGAATAAATTCTGTGAGATCTTCAACACCTTATAAAATAGGCTTTGTGTTAGATGGTTTTACCCAGCTATAGGCTAATGTAAGTGTCCTTACATTAAGGTAGGCTAGGCTAAACTGTGATGTTTGGTAGGTTAGGTATATCTAATGGATTTCTAGCTTACAGCGTTTTCAACTTAGGATGGGCTGATTGGGACATAGCCCCATCGTAAGTCAAGGAACATCTATATTTAATGTCAACTTGCCATATCACCTTGTTGTGGCTTTAAAACCGTTAAGCCATTATAGTCTCATTAGATTTCTTTCCAAATAAAAAACAGTTTTGGATTGGGAGCCATTCAGAGCCTCACGATGACTTGCCACAAGGTTCCTTGGTGTCTGTTATCTTTCATGTATGTTGACATTCTGACCATGTATTTCTGTTTCAACTATTGCTATTGGCAGGCCCCTGTTCCTTTTTTTTTAAAATCACATCTAATTGTCCATGTGGTTTCATTCATGAAGATATATGCTGTCATATGGAAGCATAAACTGCATAATTTAAATTGCCCCTGGAATCCTTTGTTAAAAGACAGAGACAGCCATTTCCCCAGATAAGAGTTCTCCATATAGATTCCTGTCAGAAACTGGAATAAAAGGAAAACCTACTGCCATGTTGGGGTGGGGGCTGAGGGGAGTGTGGGTGAGTAGGGGATGTTTGTTCTGTCTTGTTTTTAACTTTCTTTGTAATTAGTTGACTCTGTGTGTTAGGCGTACATAAACATACCGATCTCTGTGTCTGGTGATGGTGTTAGCCCCTGTCTTCCAGTTGGATCAAGCTTTTTCCTATAATCATCTCAGGAAAACATGTGTTTCCCTTCCTAGTTAGTGTGGCTGTTGTTTTGTTTCTACCTGGTTGTGTCTTGAGTTAGATGCTTGATGAGGAATATCATAGAAAGGACTCCACACTCAGTTTTAAATACCCTTAACAGCTTACAGAGAAAATTCAGGCTGGGAGGAGTTCAACCTGGAGGTCACACTATATGTGTGACTGTCATAAATTAAAAAATGAAAACCATCTTAGAATAAGAAATGAATAGCTATAGGGCCAAATTCTGAAACACATTAAAGAATCCTTTCATAAGAATGAAGTAGGTCATTTCTAAATGAGTTTTCCTCTTCTTAAAAGTACGTACCCAATTAAACATTTTGTGTTCCTAGGAAAAGAAAATAGCCAGGCTTCTCTTATTGGTATCAAAGCACTCAAAAAACCAATATACCTTGTAGGAAATGATTCCTGCCCCCAGGCCTACGTTATTATCTTGGCTTTCATAGGCTGAAATCATAAGCTCTTGTCATGTGTAATGTGGATTAGATCATATAAATAAAGAAGGTGGGTATAGACTTTATCCTTCAGTGATATTTATAGAATATGCCCAAGTGAGGAAACTTGACACCAGAGCACATGTTTTAGTTCCTTAGGCCCAAAGGAAAGAAGAACACCTGTCCTTAAGACTGAATCTACATCATGACTATCTAAATGATAATAGAGAGCTTTCCTCCACATAGAGCTGGCTACTCCCCAGAGTCTTAGCCTAATGATTCCTACTATGTGCTGTTGATATTTGCATGGTTCAAGAGCTGGTCTGCTTTTTAGCTATGCATTCAACAAATATTGAGTTACCCGTAATACGTGCAGCACTATACTAGTGCTTATGGAGACAAAATAGTCCCTAGACCCCTTATAATATGGTTGCTAGACCAGGTTGCACACTTTGGAACCCAATAGGATATAATGTGCAGTTAGGGTGATTCAGTGGCACAGGGAGAAGGTGCCATAGATGCTGAGGGGAGTGTCACAGTGGACTTTGATCTGTGCCATCAAAGAAGGGACAGAATGTGGATAAGAAAGGATGGCATTTTGGAAGTTAAGCATGAAGGTCCGATGTTACTTCAAGCATCTATCATCAATGTGTGTTTATTTTGCATGTATTTATGTTCCAGGCATAGGTTAGGCCACTATTGCTAGGAAATACACATATTCATCTTAGAATTTTACTAAATTGCCTTTTTTTCTAGAGTTGACGTCTACTTCATTAAGATTATTTTTCATTCAGCATTTATTGATTACTCATCAAGTGTTATTGATATGCCAGTATGCCTAGTGACAAGAATATTTTGGAGCACTAATAAATACTCATGAGCTACCTTTTATGTAATAAGCCACCTTTTCAAGTTTTTGCTCCAGAAAGTATGTGTCCATTTTTCTTCATACTGTCTTAAGTGTCTACATTTTTTTTTCTGATGATTGTAAACCTGTTACAAATAACAGCACAGCTAACCAGCTTTTGACCTAGATTGATTTAGGAGGGAATGATAAAAAGATTTGAATACTACAGTGATGGAGGCCATCTGATCCCACATTTTTAAAAGAATGAATGAGAAATGTAATATGAGTAGAAAAGTTTTTAATGCCTCTATCATAATTTCAGTAATTTTATGATCTTTATTTTAAAAATAATCCTGGTGATAAAGATGTGACACGTTTTCATAGTAAAGGTCTATCAACAATGCAAACAAAAATAATACCGTCAGTACAGGTTCTCCAGAATTAGAAAGTGATATTTAGAGCTTTCGTGGTAGTAAAAAAAAAAAAAAAAAAGACTTGACTGGAAGGACTCAGCCCTCCCATACCTAACACAAAATTTGCCAAGACTTAAAAATGTGCTTTAATTTACAGAGAGCCTCTTTCGTCTCTCCATCACTACCCTCCTGACAACACCCTCTTCATTTCCTTCCGTCCCGTGTGCCTTCCTCTTATCTGTACCCGCTTCCACTGAGCGTTCACATACAACATGTTATAGGTATTGTTTTTCTTGTAAAATGAAACTACTATACAGATGCCTATTATTTTGAAGAACATCTGGTTTGCAAATGAAAAGATCTCAGGGGTACAACAGCACTAGTGAACAATTCTGAAGAAGCTTTTAACAAAACTTGAAATTGCTTATCTGGAAAAAAAAAAAAAACAACCCCCATTCCTGCTGTTCTGTAGCACACAATCTCTTCACTCACAGGGGAGGTGACTTTAACAAGCAAGAGAGCTTTATCCTGGCTTTCCTATTTGGGCCTTTTAGTTTTCGTTCTGTTCCTATCTACTTCTCCCATCTGTAAGACGGGAGTTTGATTAAAACATAACATAGATAGAAAGAAAATTAAGCAGGAAACCAGGAAAAACAAATTCCAGAGTTTAATATTCCAGCAGTTATTTTTGTTTTCAATCAGGCTCAAATAACTTGAAAAAAAAAAAAAGAGAAAAAAATACCCTATATTTAATATATATTGGCCAGCATAGCACAACTATGAAAATAACATTGTCAGGGGAATTCCTCGCCTGCTCTAGTGTCTAGATTTAAAGCACCTCCATAACACAAACTGAAGGGGAATTCAATTAAGGAAACCATCGGCTTCTTATTGACTTTAGTTAAGAAAATAAACTGGGAGGAAGTATATTAAAATATGTCTAACTGCTTAGTATGCTTTCATTTAGGCTTAAGACAATCAAAAAATGAGAGCATTTAAATTTTTTACAATTAAGCTCTGGTTTCGAGTAGATTGTGGGTTATCACACCGTGCACTTTTTTAACGTAGACCTTACTCAAATACACCCCAAAATGCAGGCTTGCAATCTGTGCGTTGTAAAGCACCACAGATCAATTGGGGGAAAAAATATTTAAGGTTGTGAATTTAATTTTGTTCTAGGATTTTCATTTTCATTTATGGCACCCGTTGTGTTTGAGACCATGGACCAATTTATGGATTAGTTTTAAACCCCCAGTCTGTCACACTCAATGAACAATTCTAAGTTGGAGAGAATCCATATGAAAGGATTAGAATGTGCCACAGTGGAGCTTACACATGACTGTTTCAACTAAATATTGCCCAGCTGCCTCTCCTGCAATAATTCTTTTTTTTTTTTTTTTTTTGCTACTTAGTTAAATGGCTAGTGTCTCTAATTTCACACATTGTCAGAGTTTTTTTTTTATTTTGTAAATAGATTGCAACAATAAATGTATGTGATGTTTCATTTATTGAAAATAGGGTCTGATAAACTATAGGACTGGGAGACTAAGAAGAGGAGTCAATATTGAGTGGAGTGTGCATCTTTCAAATAATAATGCTGGACCCTTCTATGGATACCTTGTTTGACTCTACTCATACTTAGTGGGTTTTCAAGAATATGGGATTATTTCTTTTTGGCCATATAAAATACATGTATAATAAATTTGCTCTCTTTGTAATTAAAATTAAGAGATAGTAGCTTAGCTAGGCCTTTTAAATTTCTATATAACCCAACACCACCCTAAGTTCTGCTCAATTTTTTGTGACCTGTTTTTCTCATAGGCTTGCTCAAAGATTTTTTTTTTAAGGCAGCAGCAAGATGAGGTTTTGAAAAGGCTTTGTTAGGGCAATTAGAACATTCTCATTTTTCAAGCTGATTATAGCAGTTATCACTTATATTGAAATTTTACTCTTTGCATTTTGCCTCTATAGTTAGAATATTACCCAGCAATATGGTTACCGCACAAGGTGATTCACAGGGTGGGTTTGCACATTTCTCTAGTTTTCTGATTAAGATGCCCTAATAAATCCTGCTTCACGAGTTGCACTCACTTCAGAGCCAGAGCATTGGGTGTCTGTGGTTTCTGCATGAAGTCATAATGCAATTATGAAGGAGAATTAGATTCTGTCATAGTGCTCTCTTGCAAGGAGCACAAAGTTACTTCTAAAGGATTTTTTCTTAATTCTTTACTTGGAAATAACCTCTGTTCAAGTAGCATACTACATGCTCCTAGAGGAGTGGAGTCAGTGACTCCCCAGATCCTCTGTCAATCTCGTTCTGAGCTTTGTAGCCAGCCTGTGTTTCTGCTGCAGTCTCCTACCCCATTGCTGATCATGGTTTTGCCATTTCTAGCTGCAGTAACGGTGTTGTTTGACTTGAACCTGTGTTTGCTTTTAACCGTTTTAGAATGTGTTTTCACTTCTCAACATCCTCCTTTCCTCACCTTTTGGGTGCAATTGATGGATTTTCCATCCACAGAGTGGGGAAGCAAGATGCATTGTGGATTTTCCTTCATTTATTTTCTAGTAACCACCTAGGAGCAGACACCTAGCTTCACTTGGTTTAATTTCATCTTAAAGCTGACATAGTGTTGTAATGTAGGAAGACAGTAAATTTGGGGTCATTGGTTAATGCTCAGATACTATTTTTGAGGACTTGAACCCTTCGATTTTACTCCACCCCCCCATTCTTTCATTTTTACTTAATTATTTACCTGTAAAAATAAAGCATATGTCGGGGGCAGTGGCTCATGCCTGTAATCCCAGCACTTTGGGAGGCCAAGGCAGGTGGATCACCTGAGGTCAGGAGTTCAAGACCAGCCTGACCAACATGGAGAAACCCTATCTCTACTAAAAATACAAAATTAGCTGGGTGTGGTGGCGCATGCCTTTAATACCAGCTACTCAGGAGGATGAGGCTGGAGAATCTCTTGAAGGCAGGAGGTGGAGGTTGCGGTGAGCCAAAATCTCGCCATTGCACTCCAGCCTGGGCAGCAAGAGTGAAACTCTGTGTCAAAAAAAAAAAAAAGAAAAACAGAAAAGAAAGCATATTAGAAGAGTCACTACAAAAATAATAAGCCAGAGTATTTATTGCTTTTTTAAAATTTTTGGAAAGAGCCAATGCCTATCTATAAAATATATTAACATGCATATAAATGTTTCTGTACCAATGGGCATTTGATTCTGCCCTGAAATGTAAAGTACCTGTGCTGGACTTGGATGTTTCAACAAAGGAAATACGTCATCTGTGTCAGGAGAATCTGGAGAATCTGGAGCAGAGTGTGTTTCAACTGTACAGTTTTCTGTATTGTTTTTTACTACTATTTTATGCACACAGACTTGTAAGTAAGTATTTTGTTCTTATGCGGTTTATTGTATGTTTCTCTTTCCTTCATCTATTCTTCAGAAACTAAGTTATCATTAATATTAAGCTGCATTGGCCTTTCAGACTTCTGGTTAATTCTGGCTCCTTAGAAGGGATCTAATTTTTGATGGTATAGGATCCTGAGGAAAGCATGCCAACTGAAGGGGAATGCCGGTGTGAATTCATGTGTCATATTTATAAATCAGAAGCACCAGGCTCATTTTCCCAAAAAAAAAAAAAAAAAAAAAAAAGCTTCATTTGAAGTTCCAGTGCATTTAAACATTGCCTGTGTCGAGTCACAAAGTCTTTTGGAGTCTCCAGAGCACATGAAAGCAATTACGAGCTAAACAGCTGCATTCTACAAAAGGACAGTGAACTACTTGCTTGCAGAATTCCACTTCAACCCAGAATTCCACTTCAACCACCAGTGTTTGACTAGACATGACTAGCTCCTGTCTCAGTATCACCATTCCTTTCTGGCCATCAACGAGTGGTAGAAGGAACGTGCCTGGGAAGTTTTGAAATCAAAATGGAAGTATAGCCAGTTGGGTTGACATTGGAATGAAGTTGACTAGAAGAGCGGTGATAAAATGACTCTGGAAAAAGAATGTCACCCTACATTTTGTTAGATATTTATTCCACTTACCCTGAAGCCAAAAGTAAAGAGAAAATTCCTTGAGTTCCTTGGAGGAATTTCTTGTAAACAGGAGCAAGTACAGCAAGCCTGGCTTAGAAGCCTGGTAGAAGAAGGAGAAAACTTGAACAGCATCAGAAATAGAAGAAGAAAGAGACAAAACCCATTTCCTTCCACAGCAAGTTCATCTAGCAATGAAAAAAAAAAAAACTGCACTCTCACCTAATCCAGCCATGAAAGCAGGACTCCTGTCAGCTCAGAACAGTGAACGTGGTTCTGAATTGTGAGCAAAAGGATGGCTGAATACTTAAATTTTTGGAATGTCATATGATTAGAAGTGGCATTTGGCAGATTGTGTGAACTTGAGTGTTTTCATGAAAGGCTTCTTCTCTTGAATTTTGACATTAAGAGCTTTAGAGTAAATGTGTGTGTGTGTGTGTGTGTGTGTGTGTGTCTGTGTATGTGTGTGTGTCTGTGTGTGTGTGTGTAGAAACTAATCTGTGAAAACCTTGGATATGTTCATTGCCATGGCCTCCCAGTAAATTGAACTTTTCAGCTAAACTGTGCTGAAATAATACACTGGATGGAAAACTTAAACCTGTTTATTCATCTACAGGCATCCGAGCATAAGCAGTAAAAGGATCGTAAAAGTGCGATTGATTCAATGATGCCTAATTGGCAGTCAAGAAGCCCAAGTGCCTGGGTGGGTTGGGTTAAAACAAAGGCAATGTTTGAATGTATGAATCCATTGTTTAACCAGCCTTTTGACTGAGCTTTTCTGTCGCAGTCCTGAGCCTTGATGCGTTAAGAGCCATCTACCAGCCACTGAGTTTGCACTGGTGTTTCTCATCACTTTGCATGTCCACCTGACTATTGACCAGCAAATATATGTGTCCTGGCAAGACCCCCAGAACCAAAGAATTTACTGTTTTCCTCACTGGCTCGCAGCTTTGAGCTCAAGGCATGTCTTAAAACAGTGCAACTCACTTCAAATGCTTTTTGCTTTTCATTTATTATTGCTTGTCACGCGATGTTCTTTGAAAGCTTGCTCATATATTATCTGTTCCATTTTTTTCCATTTTCCCTTTTTTTGCATGCCGTTCCTCCTGTTTCTTCCCTTCCTCCAATCCTCTGTTCCCGTCTGTAGACACAACGGCGACGACAGAACCAGCAGTTCACGGTTGGTATCACATTACTGTTTATCTACTTTCTCAGCGCTGCTGAGAGGCAAGGCAAGCCTGGGAAAAAGAGAAATGTAGTCTTCAAGGGAAATCATGTTTCAAATAGACTGATCTCATAAATATACTATAATTTTTTAAGGTTTGAAAAGATGTCGAGTCTTGTCATTTCTGTTGTGAGTTTGGTAGTCAATGGATGCAATCTGAGACCAGCCCTTCTCCTCACTGGGTGGCTGGAATTGTAGGAGTGTCAGTCAGTTGCACAGAGCCCTCCTTACTTACAAAACTCCACCAAACCTTGAAATACATGGGGCTTCAAAAAAATGAGTGTTTGTGGGAAAACTGTTAATATCTGCTTTATTTATATATAGGCCATAGTCCCAGGCAAACCTTGAAGAGGTGTCATTGTGTCGCTCAGTGAAGTTGAGATGGAAGGGTAGACCAGGGAGGAAGATTCCTGTTTAAAATCATGGGCTTATGATAAGGAAGGTCATTGCTCTTCTTTAGAAAGGTCATGACTTTAAGTACGTTGCTAGTCATATTTACCCCACCACCCCTCGATGGTTCACTCTTAATTTCTGTGTGTTCATTTAACTTTATGCTCGCATTTGGCAGAAAACTCCTCCAAACCAAGAATGATACCATATGTCAATTATAACAGCATAACTGGGACTTTTAAAAAGTTATTGGTGTGTGTGTGTCTTGCAGGTAAAATAGTAACACGTTTTTAACCACAAAGCAATAAAAACGGAGTGAGTAAAACTCAGGAGGGGTATCAGATAATATGATCCCTTTTTCCCCATCTCACCAATGACTTACTGGATTGGAATAAGTCTATTAACTTTTCTATGTCTCTCCAATCAGAAAATGAGAATCATGTTTCTTCTGTATATTACTTTATTACTTAGTTCAAATCTAACCCTGACAAGATTCTGCTTAGAAAAGATATGTTAGTTTAAAACTGGGCTGAATTTTAATAATTGAATCCAAGGGAATTATTTGGTAAAGGGCCTACTTTAATCACTCTGCATGTTTTTGTACAGGGTGGAAATCTGTCATTTAAATGACAAGAGGTGATCAGCCAACCCTGCCATGTTAATTCAACTTTTAGAGAAACATTTCCTGGCACAGACTGACTTAGAGACCTGCATTTGATAACTCACCAGGTGGAAAATCTCTAAGCTCTGTAGGAGCTGTCCTTGAAGGTCAGGCCTTGATGCTTGGAAGGTCACCCCATCTTTTGACTTCCTATGACAAATTGTGAGAAAGCAAAACAAATTTAGGTACTAAGCAATACATCCTTTCTCATCCCATTCCTATTTCTTCCTGCCCTTTCTTGTCATTAGTACAAAGGGAAAAGTTCATAAAATAACGAAAAGGATCCAGGTACGCTGACAGTCATGAGAAATCAATTAGGTATAAAACTTCCACTTTCTAAGGTGATGCCTCATCGTGCTTGCTACATCCCAGGCATTGCACTCCATTAAGCTCAGTTATTTGTAGTTTTCATCATTAATTGAGCACCTCCTGACTTTATCGATTATTCTCAAAGGGTTATTTTAATGTAGTTAGAGAGATTTTATTCTATTCTTTTAAAGATAGTTTAAGTTTTGAGCTTCCTATAATTAACTACAAAGCAAAATGCAAGCTCTTCCAGCCCACAGCCCATGGGCCGCATGCGGCCCAGATGACGTTAAATGTGGCCCAACACAAATTCATAAACTTTCTTAAAACAGTATGAGATTGTTTAGTGTTTTTTTTTGTTGTTGTTATTGTTGTTCATCAGCTATCGTTCATATATTTAATGTGTGGCCCAAGACAATTCTTCTTCTTCCAGTGTGGTCCAGGGAAGTCAAAAGATTGGACACCCCTGATATAATGTAATGATAAGATTCCTAAATTCTGTGAGATCCTTGGAGATACTGATCATTCATCTCCTATAGCTCTGGAGTTCTATTTTCTAGGTCCCTTCAATAAAATTCATGTTTTTCCCTGACTCTAGAGGGTGCAGGTCTCAGAGTTGAGTAGGCCATTCAAAGTAGGAAGCTTGTCCCCTAATCTGAAAAATAAGACGTTAACTTATAGCCAGTCCTGATTTTAGAGTACTAGTTTTAATCAGGTCTTTCTCTGCAGAGAGAAAGGGAAGGTGATCTCTTTTTGTGGTATAAGAAAGAGACACTTGGAATGAGACTTTATAGCATTTCTATGGCAGGTAATAAAAGATGTTTGTGTACTGTGAGAAGCAACTGCCTTCCTATTAGTTTGGGGACGATGTTCAAGTTAGTGATGCCTCAACAGGATGTTATTGACTAGCAGTGCAGGAATAATATACCTAGAGCCAAGGGATTCATTGTATGTTATATATTTATATATATATAATTTAAATTTGACTTCTTAACTGCAGGGGGATAGAAAAGTGATAGATAATGCAGGCTGATCCCTGTATAATGCACTTATAAATATTCTTCACCTTGTCTTCACAAAGGACTCCAGCCACTATTTTAAACAGCATATTCTTTAACCCACAGCAAAGAAGCTGTAATGAAAGCCAGATAATAACTAAAATTTTACTTGATCTGAGGGAAAAACTTCCAGGTCAGTCGTCAGGATAGAAAAGGTAATAGAACATGGTAGAAATTACAAAGCAGCATCTAAGATTTCCAAAATGATGATGATACAGAACTGATTTTATTCGAGTGAATTTTAGCTGAAAATCCAACTTCTTCGTTACAGCAACTATTTGACTTGGATTCATTTGGAAATACTCTTGAGATGTTTGTTATGATGATCTGGGTTTAGAAATGTTGAATGGTTTGATAACTTAGCAACTTAAATGACAAGACATTAGATCAATTAGCTATGGCCATCTTATTTGGTCTTAAAAGTTTTCATACTGGATTTCCTTCTATATTTCTGGGTGGTTTTTTTCATAAAAATGAAAAGAAAAAAGTAATTTTTAAAATCTTTCCCTTTGAAGACTCATTAAAAGATTTTATTCAAGCTTGTGTTGCTAGAGTATGTATGAAGTTTATACCAGTTGTTTATGTATGTTACCATTTGTTCTTACCAATATCTGATTGGAATAAGCATGTAATGAAAGGTTAGAAGTGCATGGGCATGATTCAAAATCAAATGGATTTTCTCCAAAAAGAAAGCCAAATGACAATTAGCTACAATGTGTTTTTAAGGATTTAATTGATAGTAAAGATAAATGTGAGTGTAAGAGTGCGATTTTTAGACTAGGCTGACACAAGGGATCTTTTTTGAATGAGGATCTTGAGCATTTGTGTTTTTGGAGCTCATCCTTAAGGGCTAGACAGGAAGAATCCTGTGTTATGTGTGCATGTTAAGCAATGCAAAAAACACTCTGCCAAATCCTGATACCACATGGTCTGAGAAATGCATGAGTGATTTAACGCACGGATGGTGTAGTCCTTATGTTATTGATGTGTGGGTGCGTGTGATGGTTTTTGTTCATATGTGGGCGCTTCTGTGTCTTGTGCCTTGTTCCTTCTGCCCTGTGTGTCCCCTCTCCCTTTCCCCACCCTCCTCCCCCGTATGAGGGGTCGGGTGACAGCATGCCCATGGTCTGGAATAGTGCTTGTGCTTTTGCTGCACTGCAGTCAGCTGGCTTCCTCTGGGTTTGAGATATCTCTCTCTCTCTCTCTGCCCCTTCTCGCCCCTCCCCATTTTATTATTTTCAAGTCTACCTGTCCTCTTGCTTTTTCACTTCTTAATACAGTAGAGGCTGATGATCTCATGAATTTTCATATCCCCAATGAGTTTTTAAATCATTCTTAATTCAGTATGTATAAATTGTGGTAAGACTCAAGCTGGAAACCCCTCTGTAGAGTAGTTTTTCATTTTCAGTTTTGGCTTCCGAATGTTTGGCCTGTGCTAGCTACGTGCTCGTACCTTACAAGCACAGCCCTTAGGAGACTGCCCCCATAGCTCTTTCTTTTCCCAACTCGTTTATAAAAATGCAAACCATGGTCAAATTCTAAAAGCACATAAGATTTTCTTATTATACTTGATATTCAGTTGTGGGGAAATTCTTAAGCCCATTTTAAAGAAACATAGCCAGCAGTGCGCATTACTACAACCGCTATGTCCACCATCTGTGTATGTGCCTCTATGTACATCTCTCTGTATGAGCACATAACAATGGCATTCAAAGGCTGTTATTCAGTCACGGGACTCTGCAGACATTGTATGTTCTACATGAGAGCAAAGCTCAAGAGGTTTACGAATGGCTGCAGGACCTGAAGATTGTGTTTCAGCCTTGATATGCAGTTTGGAAACAATGTGCTGCTGTCTAACGGCGTGAACCAAATTTCTGCTAATGGGAAGAAGGGAAAACTCTCTACAAAAGCTGACAAAGCAGGAAGAACAGGATGACTGAGTTTTTAGATTAAAACTACCGGGGGCGTCTGAACTCATGGCTGGTGGTGGAAGTAACAGTTCCCATAATATGGCCAAGTGATCAGATGTATGCTGCTTAGGTAAGAGAGAGACCATCGCCTACTTTGTTTGTCATAATGCGTATGATACCAGGGACAGTGGGCTAAGTTTTTGTTTTCTGGAGATTTTATTTGATCATTCTATTTTTAAATTTTCTGGGAAAAACATGATACCCTGAAAAACTGAGCCCATGAGCATTTAAGTTGTATTTGACCTTGAATTTATTTAAGTATCTCTAGACTTTCTTACTGTTTCTAATTTCTTGAGGTGTTCCTTACCCTGGTTTAAAACTGCCACATCGTATCACTTTTAGAAGCCAGCAATTACTGCTGAAAAGGAAGAATCACAACTGCAAAGGCATTACCTCAGAGGGCTTAGGGTATGTTATAGCAATTGTAGCACCATGAAAAAATGAAATACATGTCTCTGCAGAAGAGATGGCTATCATGCATATATTAAATTACCATGTTTGCATCCTTAGGACTTTATTAATTGCTCAAAAATGATCCCATATGGGCAAAAAGTAAACTTTCATTTGTTTAACAAAGTTTAAAGACATATGTTGAATACATTTTAATTAGAAGTGACTAGAAAGGGGCTTTAATGGATGATATGAAAGTTTCAAGAGAATACACAAGAAGTAATTTCCCACTTATTGTTAAAGAGTGAAGCCTCCTTTTGAAGAGTGTTCTCTGCTTCATAAAATACATCTTTGTCTTTTTCTTTGAGAAAATGAAAAGTGTATAATTTTTAACTTGAAAGAAAAATACCTAAGCCAAATCAGTTTCAGGAGGTACATTTTGCTTGTCCCCTCTTGTACACCCAGTGCTTCAGTAAACTCCTCTTAATTATATTTATTCAGAAATTATCCAACTATGGCAGAGTATTGTAGATTCATACAATATAATAGCGCGACAGAAACAAATTTAACGCCACTAGCCTAAATGGCTTCCCGCTTTAGAACATAATCTGAGCAGTAGATTCCAGATAACTTGGTATATTTTAAAGTTTATGCCATTAAAAATGACAGTTTCAGCTTTAATGAGGTGTATATCAACTGTCTGTTGCTTTTTAATGGAAAACTTTGCATATCAATGATATTTCATAAACATATTTGTCTTTTTTTTTTTAATTAGCTTTCTAATGTCCTCCCCAAGGAAATAAGCCTTCAGCAGTAAAGCTACCTACTTGAAACATCCTTGTTTAATGTGGTTCAGTGGGCACCAAGCACGTATGTAGGATGCTTTGATATTTTTTGGGCCAGGTAGAAGTGAGAGATTAGCCTTCTGAGAACTGCAAATTTATAATTAACTACAGAGAAGTACTTTATGTTGCCCATTTATAACAGTTATTTAAATAATTGTATTCATCAGTCTTTATACAACATATAAGCCAATTAGAAATAGGAATACTGTCAACCAATCAGATTTCAGAGCAAATGATACCATCCCTATTCAGTTGCCTCCACAATTGATTGCATTGCTCACTGATTTCCCTTCATTTGCCTAAATCTGTAGTTTGGGAATACCTGTGGGCTCAAAGTCTTCCCATTTTTAATCAGCACCTCCTGTTGAGTATTAGCAGCCAAGGGTCATGATGGAAGGTCTTCTTCCTCAAGGGCTGATGGCGTGTCAGCCTCCTTTCACAGAATTCATCTGGCTACCAATGTTCATTTGGCTGCTCTATAAAGCACCTTACAAAATGCAGGCTTCAGTGGTCATTTGCACATGACTGTTTGGGTTCATTTGGGCCTTTAAAAATAGTGATCAGTTTGACATTACTTGTTTCTAAAGCATTTGTTTTGGTTGCTTTTAATGCTCTGATTGGGCATTATTCCCAAATTTTAATTCAACAAATACTCACGGAGAATATACTTTGTGGGTTGGCTGTAGCCGAAGGCAAAGATGCAAAAATAAACACAACATGCTTCTCCAAAGACCTTGCAGTTTATTAGGTCCACGGACATCTTCAAAAGTGACAGATTTGACTAGAGAAGTGTGAGCAAACTGCCGTGCACCTTAAAGGACCTAGGCAGTCCGTCACGATGGACTCTGAGCAGAACAGCAAAGAACACGTAAAGCCGCCTTGAATGTCTAACATTTTGTGTTATTAAATAAACTTCATTAAAGGGTCAGCTCACAAATAAAGCAAAAAGAAGTGGAAACCATCTCCTATCTAAGCCTCCCATTGTCCACTACTTCCCTCTTCACCTCTTTTAATTCAAATCAGAGCAAGCTGAGAAGCATCTCAGCTGGCCAGCATTGGAATTGACTCGGATATAGGCATTTCAAGCCCCCATTTGATTACCTCCTGACCTAACTGCTTTTTCAGCTTTGAGGGTTTTATTTTTCAGCGATACCATTGATTTATGAAATTCTCTTTTTTAAAAAAATCATTTTGCGAATCAGATATTCTGATGAAGGCATAACCTGCAATCTGCAGTTAGCAGATGCTGTACCATTTTGAAATATGTGATCCAAGATCATCATAAATTGATAATGAACTGTGTTTGTCAGTATTGGCAGCGGATTTCAATTTACAGTAAGATGCGAAATAAAACATACATACATCAGTATGTAACATCTAAATACATTTGTATTTAAGAGATATCAGAACATCAACAGCTAACAATCAGGCTTTATTGATTTCTTTCTTCTTTTTGCATGCTGTTATGAATGAGTGATTTTAAGCATTCACCTTCATGTTTCATGTCCTTTGAACAGTGGAGACTGAGGAATCTTTCTGCCTCGATTGTGTATTAATAACAAAATTACATAACTGAAGAAATGTACTTATGGATTAATACATTCACACTATCAAAAACATAGATAGCAAGAGATTTGGCTCATGTTTTTAAAGAAATTCATCCTCAGTTCTTAAGTGTTTTGTTTATGTCCCTCGAGGAATGAAAAGAAAAACGATTTGTTTTTACTTGTAAGGCCTTACTCAGTTGCCCAATTCCGCAGAAGAACTGGACAGTGAGGACCTCTCAGGTAAGGGCTAGTCATTAGGTAAGGCACTGCAATGTCCAACCTGTGGGTGCTCTATCCACGGCTACAAAATGGCCGTTTGGTTTGCTGAGCAATCAGTAAGTGTGGGTTTTGGGACTAACAAAAAACAAATTTTTGGCAATACTGTCTTCCTCCCCGGTCAACTACCCACCTCTTTTCTCTGTGGTAGTGATATTTATATTTCAGATTGGGGGCGATTCAATTAATGCAGGAAAGGTCAAGTTACCTTTGGGATTGTACTAAAGCCACTCTGTTCAGTGGCTTCAAATACTGTTTAGGTCCTAGATGTATAATGTGTCTGGAGAAATTCTGTTGCATTGCAAAGCAATTTAAGGATGTTGGATTATGTGACAAGATCTTTTTTAAAGGAACAAATGACTCGTATTGACTGCCTCCTTCTGTGGAGGAGACTAGAAAAGCCATGTTGTAGTTATCTTAGAAGTCAGGGGTGGGAAAGGGCAGGGAGGAGGGGGAGCTACTGTTTTGTCACACACCATGATGTAAACTAATTATCCACCTCAGACCTCCTTCACAGCACACTGAGCTCTTGCAAAAGTAGGTTTCATGCTTGATTCCAGGATTTAGGTGTTACTAATCCAGAATAAGAAGCATATCCTACAAGGGAGGGAGGGAGGAGATTTAAGGTGGTCAGAGCTAAACAATTATATGAGCATCCATGATGTTATGGGACTTCACTGCCAACCAGCTCTAGCTTAAACCTTTCCATCCATCACTTAATAAGTCAGTAAGCAAGGCCCTTTCCTTTTATTGCAGTGGAGAAATTAAGTCATAGGACTGTAGTCACTTACTGACGCCTATTGGAAAGAAAGATTCCCAAGGAGCTTTTACTGAAGCTCCCTTTAATAGTTGGCTGTTGAGGTACAGTCCTTAACTGTAAGTCTTACCCGTTGAGAGAATAAGATCGTACTAGCCAATTTTTCAAAATGCAGTAGATTTATTGCCAACTATGTGCTTCTGACAAACCTCAGGGATATCTTCACTTTGCTGTTATGTAGCATGTGGTTTGAGTTTAGCTGTTGGATTTATTTTTCTACAGACTGGAAGCTCCAGGAGGCCATGCTGGTCTTGATCACTGCTGTACACCTGTCATGTACTAAGCACCCAACTGACACTTACTGTATGAATGAATGAATTTCCAAATCCCAATGCATTTAGATAAATAAATAGAAATAGTGGGCCCATCAAGAGAGTTTCTTTTTTGTCTCTTCTTTGTGGCATAGAGAAGTTCCAAAAACATTTGCCTAGTTTTCTTTTAAAATAAGGGTGCAAAAGTCCTTCTCCCTGCTTAAAACGGGACACTGGAAGTAAGCAATTTCTGCTTGTATTTCTGGTGTTAGACAGTCTCAGTTCTGACCATAAAGAAAACAACTCTCTTTGACACAGTAGCCCTGGCAGTTGGATTTTCTCAAAGATTCAAAGAAAGCTGGTGGGTGTGTTGGCCCTGATTCCTCTTGGCACAGTAGCCAGACAAGGATCACTCAGATATGCAAAAGTCATTTCTCTCCTCTTTAGGAAAATGTGACTGAATCAGCCATCCACCCCTTCCACCAGCGTCATCAGTTAGGAATACTCTGGGCCTCAGCACTGCGCCGTGTCAGATGGGTCCCTGCCGCAGTCCTATCAATCACCCGAGTCAGAAGCAATAAACCAACAACTGTTTGTGTTCATAATAATTCAGTTCAATTAATAATTATGTTGTCCCCCTCCCCCATTCCCTTCAGGAACACTGCAGTCATATATTGCTCAGGAGCCATAAGTCATGTAGAACACTGATGAACTATCAGGCCGAGCTGGGCTGCCTTTGCATCTGGTTTGATGAACTAATCAAAAACTGATTAGCACCTTTGTTCAGAGGGGATGCTGATTAATCAATTACTATTGATTGTGAGCGTGGCTTCCCTCAGCAGCAAAGAGACATCTGAAGGGAGAAAAAACAACCAATAAAAACTGAGCAGCTGTCATAGCGTTTAAATTTATTAAAACAAAATACATTATTTTTATGAAGCTGTCTTGAAATGGGTCACTGAAGGGGAGCATATTGATTGAGAAAGGATGAACTTCTCAAATTTCTGTAGCCTAGAGACTGAATTCAATTATAATACAAGACAAACAGGTTAACACCCGTCTTAAACAGTCCATCAATAAATTAGAGTAGGTGTTGCGCATTTAATGCTAAACTGTGGTAATGAATAATATCATCCATTCCCTGCTGCATCAGAGTAGAAATTTCATCCTTTCCATGTTATGGATGAACTTTATGTACTCAATTTCCTTCCAAATAATGATGGTCTATCCTCTACCTGCCCCCTTTGTCCCCACCTCTCCCACACACCAGTGCTACCTTAGTTAATGACAATTTCATAAGCAACATATGGTGCTCCATTCCCACCCAGCAAAGCAAGTTGCCCGGCTGATCCTCCTCTTTAATCTGCATAAAGAAATTATGCTCATGTGTAGTTCAGTGATTTAATTATTGGCAGGCCTGGGGAGCTTATCCAGTTCTACTTTGAACCCTTTCATTTACTTTTGGGTGTTAACTTTATTGATGATGGATCCATAAGAGTTTCGAATTGTTTTATCAATTACATCTGCTGTTTCCTGGTGACAGCTGGTGGTTATTGCCACCCATGTGGAATAGAATAGCTTTAAGCATATTTATCCTTCTATTTTATTTTTAAACTTTTTCAAAATGTCTCCAACTGCCTCTCTCCCTTCAGCAGAAGAAGGGCCTTGGGGAACTGTTTAGTGGAGTGAGGTGGTAAATATACAGTGTGCCAGAAAATGGCCCTCCAGCACAGTTCAAGAAATCCATCAGTCTTCTGCTTTGGAAGCAAAGGCACCGACAAGAAATTCCAGAGCTGTCATGATTCCTCAAAACATGCTTTTAGCTTTTTCCCTACAAACAAGAAAGTGATCTGGAAAACTCCTACAACATCTCCCTCATAATCCATTTTAAAAAAAAGCATGGGTGGTGAGCAAATTCTAAATGGCTCTGCTAACCCTCACCTAGGTGATAGGAGGAATCTAGGTGAACCAACTGTAGTCAACCTAAATGGATTATACAAGAGACATGGTTTCAAAATATAGCCTACATTTATCTGGGCACAGTGGCTCACACCTGTAATTCCAGCACTTTGGGGGGCTGAGGTAGGTGGATCACCTGAGGTCAGGAGTTCGAGACCAGCCTGGCCAACATGGCGAAACCCCGTCTCTACTAAAAACACAAAAATTAGCCCGGCGTGGTGGCGCATGCTTGTAGTCCCAGCTACTGGTGGTGGTGGTTGGGGAGAGTGTTGACTCAAGAGAATTGCTTGAACTCCAAGGTGGAGGTTGCAGTGAGCCAAGATGGCGCCACTGCACTCCAGCCTGGGCAACGGAAAAAGACAACGTCTCAAAAAAAAGCCTATATGTAGTTAATAGGAGCACTTAAAGGTCTTTTGATGTAGATTTTCAGTCCTGGAGTTGTGGGATATATGGCCTTCAGGTTACTGGGAGTGTCTTAAAGTCCTGGCTAAACTTGTTTGAAATGTGTATGAGAAACTTTCAGTAGCTGTACCATTTAAGGGGAACTCTTTCGTAACTGACCCCCACATAAAGTGTGGTCCAGATTTGACAAGCAGACTATTTTATTTACTTGGTAGAGTAGTAACAATAATGGTATTAAAACACCAAAAACCAGATGGGCTGTATAGATATATTTACGTTACGGCCCATAAATCTAAAGTGTGGCATGGTTTGACTTGTATCTGCATCATACTTTGTAACTTAGAAAGCTCTTTTGCACATACTACTTCATTTGATCTTTATTCATTCAACAAAATTACTTGAGCCCTTGTGCTGGGCTCTGGGCTGGGCACCAGGGATGCAGCAGTGAACAAGACCAACAGGAGCTGCCGTGGCCTTCAGGAGCCAGGGCCCCTGCTCTCCTACAGCGACACACTGGTGAGGGAGACACACTCAAAACACAAGTTAATCTTGGACAGTGAGAAATGCTGTGAAATAATAAAACTGGATAAAGTGAAAGTGAGGGGCTGGGGCTGGGAGAAGCTGGCTGGTGTAGAAAAGCTCACCGGGGAAGGCTGTTGGGACAGGAAGACCCAGATAGATGAGAATGAGCCAGCTATAGAAGATTTTCATGAAAATCTCAAGATTGTTAAGGAAGGGCTGTTGGTCTCCATTTATAACTAAGGAAACTGGCCAGATGCCGTGGTTCACACCTGTAATCCCAGCAGTTTGGGAGGCCGAGGCAGGTGGATCGCCTGAGGTCAGGAGTTCGAGACCAGCCTGACCAACATGGAGAAACCCCATCTCTAATTAAAAAAATATATATATACAAAATCAGCCAGGTGTGGTGGTACATGCCTGTAATCCCAGCTACTCAGGAGGCTGAGGCAGAATTGCTTGAACCCAGGAGGTGGAGGTTGTGGTGAGTCAAGATTACACCATTTGCACACCAGCCTGGGCAATAAGAGTGAGACTCTATCTCAAAAAAAAAAAAAAAAAAAAAAATGAGGAAATTGGGCCCAAAAGGTTAAATGGTTTACTTAGGAGACAGTGAGAAGTGAAGCATGGGTCTTCCTGGCTCTAGAGGAAATAGAGAACTTTGATTTGCAGGGGCCACCATTCCCCCTATGAAATCCACAGCTTCCTGTGTGCTGGGGTCTTTGGTAATCCTCTTGACCCTTTTCAATTCAGTGTGCACAGTTCAGGGAATGAGGGCAAAGTCAGGCTATCTGCAGCCCATCAGGCATAGAGCAATGTGATGACTGACCTGGGAAGAATTTTTTCTCAGCGTCAAATCAAGCTCTTTCTCCTCAAAGAAGACCTAACGTCTGCTCTGGTACTTCAGTGCTATCGTCCCACTGATTACCCCAATTATGGGATCAGTTTCCCCCTGAGTTGACCCTGCATGCCATGGGAAAGTGATGGCTGGAAAAGGTTAAACCACGTAAATTCCCTTTTAAAATTCTGTTTCCTACAAGGCAGTAGACTGAAGAAATCACATTGTGTCCACACCAGCTCACTTGCGACTTCCCCACAATGTGTTTGAACTGCCTCCTGCTGCTGATCTTTCTCATAATCCAACGTGCTCCTGTTTCCACTATGGGAAGGGAGGAGACAATCAAACAGGAACTTTTCTTCCAAATTAAAAAGTTGGCAGGCCACAGTGCAAAGTGTGAATTCTAGTTCTACAGGTTGGACAGTGCTTTGGGGTGACTTCACCATATTCATTAATCCATCTTCCTCACGCCCCCAAATGCCTGAGGTCCACTGAAGCATCTTTCTCCAGAAAGAGATTCTAGTGGGAAATGTATGTTTGGAAATACTTGACAACTGTCCTCTTTATTAGGTGTGTATTCCTTTAAGGAAAACTCTGGTGTCATCTTCAGTGCCTTCCTGTTGCTTAAAGTGGAAAAGACGATCACATTTCTAAATCTGTACTTTCATGAGATGAGCAGAGTGGACTCAAGCACAACTGTTAGTGTCTCTGGCGATGCTAAATTCCTTGGGAGGATTTGCATCCTGTTGGATCAAGTTATTTCCACTCATGGTTAAATTACCTAAATCAGGGAATTTGAGAGGGGAAAAATCAACAAGAAAAAAAAAAAAAAAAACACTGTTTTCATACTTAGCTGGCAATAGTATTTAATATCCTGATACTCAAATGGTACACCTGAATCACGACTCGAGTCAGACGGCCTTCAGCTGCCAGCCCCACAGCCTTGACCTTCACAGAGGACAGCTAAGCCGTTAGTTACACTGTTTGTCAATTCTGTACAAATGAAAGAACTCGGTGACTTCAAATCAGTAAATGTTTATTGGGCATCTTACCATGTGTGAACAATGCTAAGTATGCAGTACCACATTTACCCCTAACGAACTGGTAATTATTTGCCTTGGGTCAGTGATAAGAACTGGAAAAACCCTTCTTAGATTGTAATACAGGAGATTTAAATTTGGCAAACACCGAGTCCCTATGATATGCCAAGCCCTGATAGGCACTTACCATTTTCAGGCAAACAGTGACCTCTCAGAATGACCCTGTGAAGTCCATAATTGTATTCAATGGCTCAGAGTGCCTAATTGACTTGCCTGAAGTCACAGAGAAAACTAACGAAGCTCAAGTTTTATCCCAGAAATGACAGCAAGTCCAGTGCTCTTTCCAGGGGGCCATGCAGGAGAGCTCCTAGCTCATCTCCTGTTCATGCCTGTTTCTGGAAAGCAGTGTAGCCAGTGATAGTCTAAGAGAGCGCTCAGTCCTGATCATTAAGTAGTAACAAGGTACAGCCAAAATCTGTGTGCAGGACTTTCTAATTTAAATGAACACATACTGAGCTCCGGGTGGCACAATGAGGATGATCACTGCAGTTTTCCTTTAAGTAGCTTAACATAGCTCCTTTGAAACGTTAGCATAGATGCAGTTACATTGCTAGAATTGAATGCAGCTGACGTGTAGTATTAGATGCCTGGGATGCTATATGGGAGTCTTCATGGTTTTTCTGCTTTACGTTTATTCATTCTTGTCCACTTTCTAAGAAGACAGAAAAGAAAGGTTATGCTGCATAAAGGGTAGTGTGCTCCAATATATATTAACATCTTAATGGGAAAGCGGTGCATGTACTGTATACATTTACTACTCTCTGACAAGAGGGAATTAAATGTCAGAAGGATTTGTAGCATCTATAATTGAATTGGTGCTGAGAAAAGCAAATCTTAAAGAAGAATAACATATTAGGATTAGCAAATAATGTGGCATTTTGTCAGCGCATGCCATTCAGTTTGTTCCCCTTCAGTAATAAAGTTGTGCTTTTTAAAATGCACACTTATTTTTGTTGCCATGGATGGGAGCTACCACAGATGAGAATGGGTAGCTACATTTTCAGACGGTGCCAGGTTTTCTTGAGTGTGATTTTTTTTTTTAGGTCAAATCATGGCTTTGCTTCAGATTTGGGAAATCCACTACCAGGCTTTTTCTTTCTTCCTAGCAAGAAGTAACAAATGACATCACAGTCACTAAGCTTTCTCTGATACAGACTAATCCCTACAACCCTAGGAAGCTGGAGGCAGCATTTCCATCACAAACACCGATTCTGAGACTTTTTAATTAAACTGACTTATCCAGCAAGATCTCAGCCCAGGAAAGAAACTAAAACTGAGCCAAGTGACGAAACTGTTGCAGAAAGTCAGCAACAGTAAAGTCAGCAACAGTTCTTTCCCTCCCATCATCCACAGACGGGGGAAGCGCAGAATGCTGAGCATCTGAACCGTCCCTCGTTAGAAATAGGAGGACTAATACCATTAGAACCTCCCCAGGGCTCAAACGTTAAAGATGAGAGCTACAGTGGTTTATGACCTATGAAAAGAGTTAAAGGTGTGCGTTTAAGCACCACATTGCTAAATGTGTCTTCCAGCCTGAGCCAGGGATGTTTGAGATGAGTGACCCAGCGCAGTGTGACTGCCATGCCTCATGCTGCATACTTTATTGTGTATCACTGTGTCACCCTTCACTCCTCAGAGGTAGAAAACTTGGTGTCCTTTTGGCAAAAAGACTGACCTTGGAATATGTGTAACCGAGGGCTTCAGGGTGGGCAGGCAGCAGTTGCAGTGAAGATTCTGCTCAGTGAGTCCTTCTGCCAAAATCCCTATTTGCCAGGAGCTTGTCTAGGATGTACTAGCCACTCTCCAGTTATCCATGGATCCCTGCTTTGGCAGCAGAGCATTGTAGGCTTATCACAGATCCATGATGATGGCATTTGCATGGCGGTTTATGCTACACATCTCATGCCAAGTGGTAAAGTAGCCATAGAAACCAGGATCTCTTGCAGAGCCCTGTTTAATACGGGCAGCATGGCTGCCAGAGTGCTGCATTTAAGAGGACTCTGGCAAGGAGTTTTGAAGAGTGAAAGCAAGTAGAGAAAGAAAAGTCTCCCAGAAGGAGGGGGAAAGGAGACCGAAGTTCGACTAGCAGTCACCTTTCTTGTCAGGCCCTAGGGAACTACTGCCTTTAGAACATTCCCCTTCATATTGCCCATGAGGAATGGATCGGGCCAGGTCAACTGGCCCAAGGTAAAGAAATCTGAGCAGTTTGGAGCATCACTCTTGGGAGTTGCTTTGAGATTTTCCTGTCCCGCAATTTCTAAGACTAAAGCGAGTCCAGGGTTGTTGAAGCTGTGACCCAAACAGTAGTAGGCAACTTAACATTCCGCAAGCAGCTTGTAAACTCTCACCTGGAGCCAAGTTGTTTCAGCTTTTTGCCAAAAGAAAAGCTCACTCACGAATACTAAACAGCTGATGATTTATCTGTCACACTTGGAGCCATGGAAGTGGCTGCAGGATGGGACAAGACGGGCAGGGAGGGTTGTACGGCAACTGTGAGCTGTCAGGAACACCTCCCAGTCTTTACATGGCGCATCTGCAAGTTAGATCATTCAGTGACTAGGCCTAACTCACTTGAGGGCACATGTGAAATGATTTGGATCAGATTCTTCAGTCGGACAGTGTTACGTCATCATGCTTGGTTCTTTGAGGCTGCAATAACCTTGGTAACCATTCACCAAGCAAAAACGTGGCTTTACTTTTCAAGATGATGGAGCAGAGCTTAGTCCCAGAATAGAAACACTCTTACACCTGTTACTAGTAAGAGGAACACTTGTAGCCTCTTAGGGAACAAGAAAACATGACTTGCTAAACCGAAGAGATGTCCACATGCCTGAGCATCAGGCATGTTTAAAAGTGTTTTCCACTCCCACATTTATTTTTCAATTGACAAGCTGAGGGCAGCTGTAGAATCTGCCTCTGGTTTCCTTGCCCACCTGATTCAAAAAACGAGCCTGAAATCTGAAGAGGATGTTCCCAGGAAAGCTAGCATCTCATGGGACCTGAAGGAAGAGGTCTGTACCCTAAAGGAGCAGGATCTGTGACTGATAGGGAAACCCATAGCCTTTCCACTTAGAAGTAACTTCTCATGGAATTGGTCGGAGTCCTTGCCTTGGGAATGGGAGGAAAGGTCAAGCAACTGACATACTTGGTCGGAGCCATGCTTCTCTTGGTGGTCGGTATTTCCTTACGTTTCTGGTTTTCGTGTGACTCCAGTAGCCGAGTGCCCCTCTGGGCAGCATCTTTGCACGACTGCTTCATGTCACGAGTGAGGCATAGCTCACAGGTGCAAGCAGCTCACCCCGGCCCTGCTGCCTTGAGCCACTCCATAGCATTATGAACACTCACCCACCCTCCCCACACATGGAAGTAACGGACTGAGATGACTCCAGAAACAGCTCTGCTTTTCATAGAGAAGGCTGAGACAGAGGCACTCAGTGAACAGGCACAACTCTATTATAAACACCTCCCACATAAACCCAGGAGGTGGGAGTGGGGGTGGGAAGAGGCGGCGAGGTGCTCCTAACAGACAGTGTTCCTTGTAAATTAAACATCAGTTACCTTCTGTGTCCATCTGCAGTAATCGAAGGCAGGAGAAGTGTCTTGGTGATTAACTGGTGGTAGTAAACTTTCTGATCAAAGTGAGTATCAGAAGATAGCTGGAGAGATTACCCTTATAAATAAGTATCTGTAAAATATGTATGTCCTTGAGGGTGGGGAAGATAACGAGAACCTTAGAACTGAATTTGGGCAAAGTGCAGGGGAAAATAGCAACACTGAGCATATTTAGCTCAAAGTTCATGGAGAGCAAAGGTCAAGTGAATAGTTTTGACTCAAGAAATTAATCCCACAGATAGATGCCTTGTGAGGTCTTTTTGTTTGGGGGAGGGTTTTGTTTGTTTTTCTTTGTCACAGAGCCTCTCTGTCTCTCCCCTCCCCCTCCTCCCGTAGGCTTCCAGAATATTCCTGTGTCTAGGCATGGAGGGGAGGCAGTCTTTTATTAAGAGTGGACAAGAGAGTGCCTTTCCCTAAATGGTTAGAACTGTGCTGGACAGCTTCTCGAAGCTTCTCTCTGTTCTCAATATTCCTAGAATGGGAACCTCTTCACCTCTTGTCTCTTGTGCCTAACTTTCCCATCCTTATCTAGTCTCACTTGTTTTCCTCCCCCAATTTTAAGACACACGGAGTGCGTTGAAAGACACATAAATTTTCATAGATCTGAAGCTCATGGCCATTGGAGATGAGTTAATTCTCATTCCCACAAGATTCCCTATTTTGACAGCCCCCTAAGGAAAACACAACTTGCTGTCTTTTCTGTTACTTTTGTCCCCCATGAGCAATTTTGCTTCTGTGCAGTTGGACTGAACATCTCCAGTGTGTCAAGCACTCTCCTCCAGCAGACACCCCGTGTCCAGCAGCACCCCACGGGGAATGCTCCCCTTCCAACGAGTTCTGTCGTCTCTAAAAAGTTAAAAAAAAAAAAAACTTCCCTTGGCTGAAATGCCTTGTTGAAATGACTTTCAAGACAATGGGGGCTGTAGCATCTGCAGTCGGCAACACTTTTGGCTTAGAAGGGATATTCCTCTCCACCACCTTTCAAGTTGAGCTTATTAGACACATTGCTGGAGGGGCTCGCTGGGCTCGGAGCGGGCTAATTGGCTGCAGTGCACTCTGCCTCCAACCCAGCTCCCTTCTCCAATTAAACTCCCATCATCCTGTTGTCCTGGGCAACCTGCTGCTGCCTCTGATTTGGCATTTCTGTTTGGGTTTGGGTTTGGGTTTGGGTTTTTCTATAGTCCTTTCAAAGATAACTTAATGAAACACTTTAAATACTTCGTTTTAAAATTTAAACTCTTTTAATTAAAGCACTTTTCATGGAACCCTCAGTCACGAGTTATTTCCCCGCATCCTTCAGTACTTAATCTCAGAGCAGAATTGGAAATATCGATAGAAAGTGTAAATCATGCCCTCCTGCTGAAAGTGTTGTATCAGGTTTCGGCTCAAAAGAGCACCATTACCTTTAGCTGTCACGGATCTGTACACTTGATCGATAAACTTCAAATATTATTAGAGGTGGAGGCTTCAGAGATTTGCTCTGTTCTTTGGAGAGAGACAGAGATAAATCTTTCTTAAAAATTGACTTGAATTTGCACTCTCAGTCTTCCTGGTGAAATGCATTTCTCTTAGGCATCCAGCAACTGCAAGGGGGACAGATTTATAGGCCATGTGCTTCTTGTACTGAAAGATTCAAATGGTAAATCCTTCACATATGACTTCACAAATCATGTAAAGTTAAAAGATTTTTACCGTTTCTGTTGCTGCTGTGCTTAAATTGTAAGGTACAGCTAGTAAATCATTTTAATGGAGGTGTCGTACTTGACTCAATAAAAAAAAAGACAATGGTTTAGCTTCCACTCCAAAATGTTAATGTATTAATCAACGGGAGAATAATTGTTTTTTACTACATTATAAATCTCGGATGCCATTAGGATTTCAGCAAGGGGTGATGTCGCCACATTCCTAAATTAAAATTGTTTGCACTGCCATACATTCATTCTGCATCGCCATAGCTCATTCTGGGATCGTTCTGGAGTTGTTCCCCAGCCAAACACGTCGTTCCTCAGTCGGAAGAAGACATCCTGAGGGAGTGATGCTTATAAAGGAAAATTAATTGCATTGCAAGGTGTTAAATAAATAAAATAAAAACCGTCTGTGCCAATGGACAATTATTCCTTGCTCTCTCTTTTGAAATAGGTTTTTAGGTTTTAAATTGAGGCTTACTCCCTCATACATCCTAAATGTAGCCAGCCTGTCATTTGTCTTTAGTCTTATAATCCTTGTTTTATCTCGAGGCAGCCCTGGCTTTTGAGTACCTTGCTTTTCCTATGCATATACCTAATCTATCAGGGAATGAAAGTCACTGGGCGTCTGTAGAAAGATGCTCCATCCTTGCCTTAAGGTGTCATTCAGAGCACCCTCAAATAGTCAGTTCAACCTCCTTAATTAGGCTCTGCAACTGGATACAGAGAGAGTGAACACTCAGACTAGGTCAGGGCCAGATAGACTATTTCTTCCTTCCCT